CTTGTAGCATTTGACAAGAATGGAAAAAACCAAAACGAAAGCTAACCATACCAAATAAGCATACAACAATAATATGACATAGACAAATTACAACTTCATTATATGAACATATGAACCAAAAAAAGGATTTAAAGCTAAAAATTTGGCAAGTTAATAAACAGATATAACAAACTCATGAATCTGAAAAGGAAAAAAAAAAATCAAAGTCGTATCAATCCTTATTCTTTCTTGGTTGGTTTTCTGTCAAAGGGCTTCAATTAACCAAGGCTTACTTCTTGTTTTTAGGCTAAAAACCGAGTTTTTACTTAATATTTTGCTAAATTTATCAACCGTATACCATTTACATACTTATATAATATTTGATCTGGACTATACATGTATAGTCTAATGATATTACCAAAACTATTATAGTCAATATGACATATATTGTATAGTACGGTGTTACAGGCTTACAGCATTACTTTTGTAACACGTGTGTTCAGTTTCGAATCTAAGAATCCTAAAAAAACAAAAAACATTCGGTTCGGTACGGGGAAAGTACATCGACACAGGTTGTTTAGTCTAGACTGGCTAACTCTATGGTCGTTCTTTTGTTTTTTTAACATCCAATAACATTGTGGTCTTTATTAAATAAATGTTTATTTTTCACATATTTAATTAGAAGAGGAATCTATTTTTTTCTGGCTCCTCTAATTAATTTTTTGATGACAATTTCTTTTCTGTCTATAAATAGTTTAAGATTAGATCTCAATCAAATTTCAAATTTTACCTTTTTTATTATTTTTCTCAAATTGATTATATTAGATGCAAAAATACACTAATTATAAATGCACTTTTAAGTAAAAACACAATCGTTTCTTTAACCAGCATCAAAAGCGCTAATAAATTTGTGGCTGTAACGATATATAAATAGATGTCAGATTTAGACAGTATATATAAAAAAAAACAATTGTGACACTAAATATTCTGCTGTAATTTCTCTTCTTTTTTTTTAAAAGACACACAGCTTATAAGAAAATTAAAATATAAATAGAACATAAAAATACGAGCATTGCAAAACTAAATTGGAGATTATTTACTTTATTTAAAACCTGAGTATATAGAAAACAATGAAGAAGCTACAAAAATCTACATTGTTTTTGTTTCAGTATAAAATAGTATAATAAATAATATTTAATCATCTAATTTTATATTATTAACTATTATAATTATTAAAAAATAAACTTTTTTCTGTCGGCAATATAATTAATTTTCTAATATTATATTATTAACTATTATATTTATTTTAAATTAAAATTCTATATTTAATTGAATATTATTTTGTGTTTCTTATTTTTAGTGATTTAAAATTTGTTTTCAATTCTATTGATTTTATCTCTGAAGCGATATGGTTTATCTGTTTTCTGGATTACATAAATATATTTTTTTAAATGATATTCATTAATGAACTCGTTTTTGAAATTTATAATTTTTTTACATAATTTTTTATTTTATAACGGAAAACAACAACTATTAAAATTTCTAATTTTATTTTACAGATTGAAATTTTCAATATTATGTAATTAATAGAATTTCGTATTAATTTCTCAAATATCAGATAAATGATAACTTTGAATTTGTATCATATACAAATGAAAGCAAAAAACAATTAACAAATAATACAATGTTTTTATTCTTTCAAACAATAAAATCATATAACAAACATACTCAATCAATATGTTCAAAATAATACTTAAAAATATTTTAAATAAATATAAAACTTAAATTTATTAAATACTATTCGTTTAAAAAAAGGCAATGTTAAAAATATACATAACAAAAATTAACAAAACACCGCACGAAGAACACGCCTGACTCATTCAAAAATATACAATTCTGTAGCTGTTAATTCAAAAATAAATAAATTTAAAATTGAAAAAAAAAATATTGATCCGCGCGCAGAGCCGTTTAAATCCTAGTATTTAATTAGAAGAGGAATACATTTTTTCTGGCTCCTCTAATTAATGTTTTGATGACAGGTTCTTTTCTGTCCATAAATGGTTTAAGATTAGATCCCAATCAAATTTCAAATTTTACCATTTTTATTGTTTTTCTCGAATTGATTATATTTAGATGCAAAAATACACAAATTATTAATGCACTCTTAAGTAAAAACACAATAATTTCTTTAATTGGCATCAAAAGCGCTAATAAATTTGTGGCTGTAACTGTATATAAATAGATGTCAGATTTAGACAATACATAAAAACAAAAAATAATTCTGGGAGTAAATATTCTGCTGTAACTTTTTTTCTTTTTTTTGTAAAAGACATACAACTTATAAGAAAATTAAAATACAAATAGAACATAAAAATACGAGAATTGCAAATCCAAGTTGATGATTATTTACTTTATTTAAAACCTGAGTATATAAAAAACAATGAAGAAGCTACAAAAATATACATTGTTTTTGTTTCAGTATAAAATAGTACTGGTAAATAATATTTAATTATCTAATTTTATAATATTAACTATTATAATTATTAAAAAAAATTCTGCCGACTAATATAATTTATTTTCTAATTTTATATTATTAACTATTATATTTCTTTTAAATTAAAATTCTCTATTTAATTGAATATTAGTTTGTGTTTCTTATTTTTAGTGATTTAAAATTTGTTTTCAATTCTGTCTATTTTATCTCTGAAGCTATATATATGGTTTATATATTTTCTTGATTGCATAAACGCATTTTTTAAATGATACTCATTCATGAACTATAGTTTTTGAATTTTATAATTTTTTTTACATACTTTCTTATTTTATAACGAAAATCAACAACTACTAAAATTTCTAATTTTATTTTACAAATTGAAATTTTCAATATTATGTTTTATAAAATTTATAAATTAATATAATTTTTACTAATTTCTCAAATATCAAATAAATGATAACTTCAAATTAATATCTTATACAAACGAAAGCAAAAAACAATTAACAAATAATACAATATTTTTATTTCTTCAAACAATAAAATCATACAACAGACATACTTAATAAATATGTTTAAAATGTTACTTAAAAATATTTCAAATAAAATATAAAACTATAATTTATTAAATATTTTTCGTTTGAAAAAAGGCAATGTTAAAAATATACATAAAAAAATTAACAATACACCGCACGAAGAATCTGCCTAACTAAATACACTCTTAAATAAAAATTAACAATACACCGCAAATTTCAAATTTTATCTTTTTTATTGTTTTTCTCGAATTGATTATATGTAGATGCAAAAATACACCAATTATAAATAAATACACTCTTAAATAAAAACATAATAGTTTCTTTAATTGGCATCAAAGCTATAATAAATTTATGGCTGTAACTGTATATAAATAGATGTCAGATTTAGATGGTACTTAGAAACAAAAAACAATTCTGATAGTAAATATTCTGCTGTAATTTCTCTTTTTTTTTTGGTAAAAAACATACAGCTTATAAGAAAATTAAAATATAAATAGAACATAAAAATACGAAGATTGCAAATCTAAGTTAACAGTTATGTACTTTATTTAAAACCTGAATATATAGAAAACAATGAAGAAGCTACAAAAATATACATTGTTTTTGATTCAGTATACAATAGTACTAATAAATAATATTTGTTGTTGTATGGCTTTCAATATTCTGGAGACACTCTCTTATAGTCCATACAATACCACAAAGCATTATGTTCATTTTTATTCTAGTGGAAATGGCTCACTCCGTAGAACCGTTCAAAATTCTATAAAAAAAAATTGGTTCGAACATTCCAATAAAATGATCTGTTTAACGAATATCTTAGTACGAGTGATAATTAATAGTATAAGACATATTTCTCATTACTAATAATATAAATAAATTATGCTTAAAAAAAAGAAAGGAATCTATTTGGACTAAAGAAATTAATAAGACGTCATTTTCTTTTCCTACGGTTTAGATAATTTCCCACTATAAGAAAAACGAATATATATATTTCCATAAAGCGAGTACGTACATTGTTTTTGTATATTTTGCAAATAAAGGTATATTTTTGACTTTATGGGCCAATATCTCTCTGTTTTTTCTCTCAGTAGAAACAAATAGCAAATACGTCTCCTTAAAACTAGCTTGAATCAAATCAGCCATTCTTTTCTTCCGTCTTTCACTCTCCGCCTCTCCTTCGTTTGTTTCCTAAAACCATTTTTCTCTGCTTTCTTAGATTCTTGTTTCTCCCCTCAGATCTCTTCTGCTTCAGAACGATCCTCTGTTTTTTTCTTTTCTTTTTTCGCTGGGGTTGTTTTTCCGGAGGAAGAATCAGCCGAATAAATCCGTTCGAGTTTCTTTTCTTCTATCGATCTCGTCGATTTTTGAGATTTCTGTTCTTTGCATGGTCTAGTGGATGATTTGATAACGTCTCATTTCTGGAATTTTGTGACGTTTCTGGGTTTATATGATATTGTAGAAAAAAAAATATAGTGTTTCTTTTAATAATCTGGGTCAATGATAATAGTGGTCGACGAGTAGGGTTTACTTTTTCTAATTGTCTTTGTTTGAATTATTGGCTTTCTCCATTTTGAAATCGAATTTTCGTTTCTTTTTCTTGATTTTTAATTGAATTTCAACGCTATTATTGAAAAGAATTTCAACTTGTGGAATTTGTTACTGGTGAAAATTTATATATATTCATGTCATATTAGAATCTGGATGTCAGAAGAACGTGTGCAGAAACTTGGGGTTGGTGTAATAGTTTTAAACCAATTCTTACAAAATAAATTCAGGTTTTAACCTCTCCTTTCATCCTTGTTTGTACATATTTTACTAAATTCTCTCTTTTCAAAAAAAAAAAAAAAAAAAAAAAAAAAAAAAAATTTGATGATGATGAAAAAATTGGTTAGTTTTGAAACAGAATCTAGTTTGGTGGTTGTTTTGAGCTAAGAATTTAGGGTTTCTTTGAGTTGCATGTGTCTGAGATTGTTTTAGAAGAAAGAAACGAAAAAATGGAAACAAGAAATGAGACAAAAGCTTCACCGGAAAACAACCTCAGAAGCAGAGCAGCTGTTGGGAACAACAGCAAGAAAGACATGATTTTTCGAGCAGATAAGATCGATCTGAAGAATCTAGACATCCAGCTGGAGAAACATCTGAGTAGGGTTTGGTCAAGAAGCATCGAGAAGAATCCAAAACCTAAAGAAGAGTGGGAAATCGAATTGGCTAAATTGGAGATGAGGAACGTCATTGCTCGTGGTGCTTATGGTATTGTCTACAAAGGCATCTATGATGGTCAAGATGTTGCAGGTCCAACCAAAAAAAAACACATTTTTAATGTTTCAACAGTTCTCCATTGTTCTTGATCGCTTTCAAATATTATTATGTTCTTATGTGAAACTTTGTCTTTGGTTTTGAGTTCTTGCAGTGAAAGTTCTTGATTGGGGAGAGGATGGTTACGCAACGGCTGCTGAGACTTCTGCTCTCCGTGCTTCGTTTCGACAAGAAGTCGCTGTTTGGCACAAACTTGACCATCCTAATGTCACAAAGGTGGTATTATTAGTGATGATCTCTTTGTGGTTTAAGTATGTTTATAAGTCTCTAAAGATCTTTGGATACAAAAACAGTTTGTTGGAGCATCAATGGGAACGACGAATCTGAAGATACCTTCATCAGCTGAGACGCAGAACTCTCTGCCTCAACGAGCTTGTTGTGTTGTTGTGGAGTATCTTCCTGGAGGAACCCTTAAGCAGTATTTGTTCCGTAACAGGAGAAAGAAACTCGCTTTTAAAGTCGTGGTTCAACTCGCTCTTGATCTCTCCAGAGGGTAAACTTACAAAAACAGAACTTCTTTATGAATGTTTCAAGAAAGGAAGAAGAAAATGCTAAGTTATGATGATTGATCTTGTTGTAGGCTAAGTTATTTGCATTCAGAGAGAATCGTTCATCGCGATGTGAAAACAGAGAACATGCTTTTGGATTATCAGAGGAATCTAAAGATTGCTGATTTTGGGGTGGCTAGAGTTGAAGCACAGAATCCAAAGGACATGACTGGAGAAACTGGTACTCTTGGATACATGGCTCCAGAGGTAAACACAAATTCAAGAAATTACAATTTAAGAAAATGTTTCTTTTTGTTTCATAATCTGAGTTTTAAAAACTTTGTATAGGTTCTTGATGGTAAGCCATACAATAGAAGATGTGATGTTTATAGCTTTGGGATATGCTTGTGGGAGATATATTGTTGTGATATGCCTTACCCTGATCTCAGCTTTGCTGATGTTTCTTCTGCTGTTGTTCGTCAGGTAAGTGCAACTCTATATATAAAAGTCTTGATTCTGAAATGTTTAAAAGTGCTGAATTTCGCAAATCTATGAATCTAGTTCGTGTTCTTGGCATTTGAAATTTGATAGAAGGTGGTTAATCCGGTTTACGGTCTAATAATGTCTTCGGTTATTGGTTTGGTCGGTTTAATAGAAAACCGAAACAAAGTAAACCCATGTGTAATTCGGTTTTAGTTTCCGCTCTGATTGAAGCAATATTGGTTTGTGCTCGGTTTGGTTTTGGAGTTGGATTCATGTCGGTTTTAGTAATTGTTGTGTTTATGCAATATGATTTACATTGTCCTAATATATATATATATATATATATATGCATATTTAAGTAAACATAAAAATACAAATAAAGAATGGTTTATTATAGATTCGGTTTAGTGTTCAGTACTAAAAATTCAATTGGTTTATAAATTTCGGTCTGGTTTTGTTTATCCTAGCTTTTTTGCCAATTAGTTCATTGAGAATCTGAGATTACTGTTATCGTTTTTCCGCAGTGATTGATGCAATACTGGTTTATGTTCGGTTTGGTTTTGGAGTTGGATTCAAGTCGGGTTTAGATAGAAAACAACTTAACACACAAACTATACAAATATACAATTATTTTGGTTTATTAGATTCGGTTTAGTGTTTAGAATTGAAAAAATTGATTGGTTTATAATTTATAAACAAATGTCGGTTTGGTTTCGTTTTCCTAGCTTTGTAATTTGCCAATTTGTTAATATTTTAACCTTTTGGATTTTAAAAACAGAATCTGAGACCGGAGATTCCGAGATGTTGTCCGACATCATTATCGAGCATAATGAAGAAATGTTGGGAAGCAAATCCAGAGAAAAGACCTGAGATGGAGGAAGTTGTGAAGATGCTTGAAGGAGTCGACACCTCTAAAGGCGGCGGAATGATCCCGGAAGATCAGAGATCTGGCTGCTTCTGCTTTGTCTCCGGTCGTGGTCCATAAATTTACCTTTTTACCCTTCTCTACCCTTCTTCTTGTTCTTCTTCTTTCTTTTTACCTTTCCCACATTGAATTTTGGAGCAATGCTCTGTTTTTTTCCCCCTTCTTTACTCTGTCCAGATAAAAAAAAGTTTTTCGTTATGAAAAAGAATATATATTATTAATTTCTTTTAATGTGAATATGATGAACTAGTGAATATATCGGTGTTTGATCCAATATACTATTGTTTTGATAAGACAGTGATAACTTCTCATCTCGATGTTTTAATTAACGATTTTAATTTGTTTCTCTCGAAAAATCGTTTATGAACATATACAAAATTTAGGAAGAAAAACATCAAAAGTTTGTAAAACGAACAGGAAAATAATTAATCATGACTAATTAGAACGTGCCAATACATAATCCTTACGTAAAACATATGTAAAACAGAAGGTAACCAAATAGGAGGATGATTACAAACAGAGTAATATGGTCCTTCATTAGCTAAAACACAAAAAAGCTTTCATAGTCATAAAATTCATAATTAATTGGACGAAACTAGAGATTTGTAGTTCTACTTTTGTTTGTTAAAGGATTTGTTTAGTTCTTTGTGTTAAATGGACGAAACTAGAGATTTTGTAGACGATTAATTCTGCAGAAGGTAGGCCAGTTTCAACAATGAAGTTTCGCGTAATTCTTTTCATTAGTATCAAAGAATATACAATTTTTTTTTTATTTTTTTTGGTTTTAAATATACAATTTTGTCATTGGCTGTTGATTCACGTTAAAGCTCCTTAACCAAAATAACAGGTACGAAACAAGAAACGCAATAAACAAGATATTTCACAATTTTAGCACAGAAATAAGTTTATTTATATTTACGCAATATAAAGTCAGATTGGGAGAAAAAGAATTATAACATAAATTGAGGTGTATAAATTATATAAATTACGTGGATGGCTTACAGAAAAAAAAAAGAGAAAAGAAAAACGTATAACGTGGTGCATGAGTTGGGTGGGTAATTACCCACACGGCAGGCAAAAGAGTCTGTTGCTGTCTGTCTGATCCAAAGTTTGTTCATAATTAATTATCCACTTTTTAGTTAGTAACTATCTAATCTAATGTCTCTCTATTCAAAGATATTTTCGCTCGTTTTCCTCATTAGATAACTCATAAGTCGGTCCACAACCATATACCAACATTACCAAAAGGGGTCACATTTGTAATTTGCACATTTCCCATAACTTGGCCTATAAAAGCTCATGGCATCTCAATATCAAATATCACATATATATTTCACATCCAATATCTATAGTTTGTCTAAATCCACTTTATTCTGATTATTTAAACATATATATTAAAGGATAGAGCCATATGGGATCATTAGTGAAAGAAGAAACTTCGCCTTCGTTGATGACGGAGTTTTTGGAGAAGTGCGGTGGTTATGCGGTTGTGGACGGAGGCTTTGCGACGGAGCTACAACGCCATGGGGCTGACATCAATGATCCACTTTGGAGTGCCAAGTGCCTCATTACTTCTCCTCACCTCGTCACAAAGGTCACATATATGCAATATATGCAAAAATTAGTTACTCTGAGTTGAGATGTTATAGTCGGTGAAATGATTCTAACTTCTTGGTTAAAAATTAATTCTTATTTTGCATCAGTTGTCACTTTTATATTATTAAGTAGGTAATACACCCTAGATAACCCTAATTTCTCATAAATAAGTAAATGATCTTGGCCTTTTTTCCAAAGTAATCCACCTTTTAATTTGGTTGATTACCATTCGACTTATTTATCCAAATATATGTTAGTTTTATTCTTGATTTCAACTTTATACATGTCTGTTAATTTTAACGCAACGAGTACTTTTTAGATCATATAATCTTTATATAGTGCATTTGAATCCAATGGTAACAGTATATAAACGACCAATATTACAAATTATCAAGCTACATATATATTTTTATACAACGAGTTTTAACTTGTAATTATCTCAAGTTCTATGTTTTCGATGAGCCTCATAAAAGTAAAAAAAAAAAATGTAACATCAAAGAAAAAGCTACTCATCCAGTTTTATTCCTAGTGCAAACGTGTAGATCAGCAAACAATAAAGAGCCACGTCGCTTCGGCGCAACGTGTCTTTTTCATCGCATTATTGGCCGTCCCACGACGTTTACTAGATTGCTACATCATTTTTTCTCCTAACATGCATTTCTAATTATTTCCCTATACGTATGTTTGTTATTATTACATCTCAGCACCGTTGCACCAAAGGTCCAAGGATCAATAGATTTGAATGATCTAGAGAAAATGAAAACATCAGAAAATATATCTTAGTATATAAATTATATAATATATGTTAGGTTTGTGTAATAGGTGCACTTGGATTACCTAGAGTCTGGAGCAAACATCATCATAACCGCATCATACCAGGTAACTTGGTCTATATATATTTTTAAGAAACATGGATTACATCGAAATATAATCGTCATTTAGTTTTACGTAATTCAAGTATAAAGCTTTCAAACTTTTATAGGCGACGATCCAAGGATTTGTGGCAAAGGGTTTATCGGTGGGAGAAGCTGAGAGTTTGCTGAGGAGGAGCGTAGAAATCACGTGTGAGGCACGCGAGATCTTCTACAACAGATGCACTAAGGGTTCTTGGGATTTCGACCACGCCGGAAAAGCTTCCCGGCGACCGGTTCTCGTCGCAGCTTCCGTTGGTAGCTATGGAGCTTATCTCGCCGATGGCTCTGAATACAGGTTCTTTCACTTGTTTGTTTCTTTGTTAAAACTACCAAAGTCTTTAGCCCTTTATAGAAACTTTATTTCATCCCTCTCGTGATGGTCCTGCAGCGGAATATATGAGGATTCTGTGAGCATGGAGACATTGAAGGACTTCCATAGAAGAAGAGTTCAAATCCTAACAAAATCTGGAGCTGATCTTATCGCATTCGAGACTATTCCAAACAAGCTCGAAGCTGAGGTAGATAAAGGTTTCTTAAAACTTTGACTATTTATGGGGTTAGGGACGAATCTTAGAATCAAAACCAAATAAATTTTAAGCGATTTTAGTCTAGTGGTTGTTTTTGCCATCGTGATCATATTTTCAGAAGCAATATTACTCAATATTAGTTTAGATTTTTACCAATAAAAATATATATGTTTTTCACATATAATAGGCTTATGCGGATCTTCTTGAGGAGGAAGGCATCGACATTGCAGCATGGTTCTCGTTCACATCAAAGGACGGAGTCACTGTGCCACGTGGGGAGTCAATTATAGAATGCGCGAAAGTGGCAGATTCTTGCAAGAATGTGGTGGCCATTGGAATCAATTGTACTGCACCAAGATACATTCACGATATGATAATCTCCTTGCGCAAAGTAATAACACATACACATATAAACAAATGATGGAATTAGGGTTTCTTCCCTTGTATGTGCCTTGCGGCTGAAGAAACTGTCCTTTTTCTTTCTTTCCAGGTGACTCGCAAACCGATCGTTGTCTACCCAAATAGTGGAGAAGTCTATGATGGTCTGAACAAGAAATGGATTGTGAGTGTTTCTATATAGGAAACTGGTAGTTATAAAAAAAATTACAAGTCTGACTTTTTTTATGGTATTAATGCAGAAATCAGAAGGAGAATCAGAGGAGGATTTTGTGTCGTATGTGAGTAGGTGGAGAGATGAAGGGGCATCTCTGTTTGGAGGATGTTGTCGGACAACTCCAAACACCATCAGAGCCATTGCTAAAGTTCTCTCCGGCGAATCTCCGGCACCATCCAAACTCACATTCCGACTGTAGACTTGTCAAGTTGTCAACGATGAGTTTCTACTTTCTTCGCTTGTGGTGTTTGAAATGTACTATAACGCATGTATAATTGTGTATATACATACGTAAGTTAGTGTTTAATCAGGTTCTCTCTTTGTGTTATGTTGTTAAATAATCTAATATATTCTCTTCTTTTAAAACAAAAACAAAAAAGGTTACTCCACGTTAGAGAAACGCATGTCAATGGGGGCTGGTTCGGCCCATTTCGGCCCAAACTCGTACAACTTGTATATATTCTAAAGCCTGACCTGGCTTTGACAAGGGGTTTTCAGGCTTTTTTGGATTTCGATTGTATTTAAGAAAAATAATATATATATCTAAACTGAAAAAATATAATTTTTATCATATTCAGTTCAAGTTAAATTTTTTTTTTTGATTTAATAAATTCTAATTATTTTAAATTCGAGATGAAAATCTAATTTATTCAAATTTATAGACATATAATAAAAATAAAAATTTTTGATTAGTAAAAAAAATTTAAATTAATATTTTTGTACAAAATAAATATTTTCTAATTTCTTTTAATTCAGTTATAATATAAATTGGAAAACTTTTTGGATAAATCCGAATCAAGTTAAATTTAAACCTAAAAATCTATAAATTCAAATAGACTTTGCCTCATAGAATTTGGGATATATATCATTTTACAATTTGCTTTAGAGCGATTTGGTCTATAGTGTATGAAAATCTATGTTGCTCTTAAAAAGGTATGGCTCTGATACTTTGACAGTTGCCCCATTGAGTTGAGTAGATATTGATGTCAAAAGCAGATGAGGAGTAGATATTGCAAAAAGCTGGCCAGTATGCTATAATAGCAAACATAGAACAATTAATTAATATTTAATATTAAGAAAAAATCAGAGATTAGAGTAACTAAGACATTGGAGTGCTAGTGCGAATGCTGGAGGATCTCACTCTAGTAAACTTAGCTCAACATAATTTCATTGATATTTAACCTTGATTACTTCATGAAGGTTTCCAACATAATTTGCACAACTTTTGTTTTTCAGTCGTTTCATTGTGTTATAAAACCAAATATTCATATGAGTCTCACCGTAACATTGGACTATTCAAATTTAATTTTTAAATATTTCATAACTATGGCTCTATGGATGAGATATGTATTAACAATTTTCACAATAAATTGTTTATGGAATAGAAGAATTTGGTTTCTCTGATTCGAAATGTATAAGGTATAACCACATGAAAATAAAACTAATTATTTTTTATCAGATTGATTTATTAAGTTGTATTAAACTAATTATTATTTAATTATTAGTTTGATTAAGTTTATGAGTTCCCAAAACAAATGAAACATAAAATTGTTGTCCCCATAAGCAACATTCCAATTCCAACCCGTCATTGCAAGAGTCCAATAAATCAGCCATTTATTTACTGATTTCAGTTGGTTATTGAATTTTTTTACGGTACAGACACAATTACATTTCGAGAAGTTCTATAGATTATGACCAATACCAAAGCTGCAAAGACGATAATATACTGTTCAAACAAATTCGTTGGGTTTGAGGAGGGGTTAAATTAATCAGAAGAGCACATAATATCATTGTTTACTGCATTTTCTTCTTCTTAATTGTCTTGTCTTATATATAGTTTTGGTTTGGTTTGTGATTGTTTTCTAACAAAAAGAAGAGCTTTTGATTATTAAGTTGAACAAACGTTTTACTTGACAATAGTGTGAATTAGTAAGCAGTGAGGGTGAGTGAGCCCAACAATGGCGACGTTGGGGAGTGTTCTTCATCACTCTTCAATAGTGTTAAGCACTTCGACTTCGAGGCCGTTTCTCCAAAACCAGACCGAGCGTAGCAAAGCCACGACATCGTCATCTCCGATTAAGTCGTTGAAGAATTGCAAAACCATTGACGAACTCAGGATGTTTCATCGTTCGCTCGCGAAGCAGGGCATCGATAACGATCTCTCCGCTATAACCAAGCTTGTAGCCCGAAGCTGCGAATTGGGTACTCGTGAAAGCTTGAGCTTTGCCAGAGAAGTGTTTGATTACTCAGAGGAATCATATGGATCTTGTTTCGTTTACAATTCATTGATTCGTGGATACGCATCTTCTGGGTTATGCGAGGAAGCGTTATTGCTCTTCCTTCGTATGCTGATCGCCGGAATTTCTCCAGACAAGTACACGTTCCCGTTTGTATTGAGTGGGTGCGCCAAAGGCAGAGCGAATCGTGACGGGACTCAGATTCATGGGTTGATCGTGAAGATGGATTACGCTAGAGATTTGTTCGTGCAGAACTCGCTGGTTCATTTCTACGCAGAGTGTGGAGAGCTTGATTGTGCAAGGAAGGTGTTCGATGAAATGCCTCAGAGAAATGTGGTTTCTTGGACCAGCATGATTTGCGGTTACGCAAGGAGGGATCTTGCGAAAGACGCTGTTGAATTGTTTTTCCAGATGATGAGAGATGAAGATGTAAGGCCTAATTCGGTCACAATGGTGTGCGTGATATCGGCTTGCGCTAAGCTAGAGGATCTTGAAACTGGTGAGAAAGTTTATGCTTTTATCCGCAAGTCTGGAATTGAAGTGAATGATCTTATGGTTAGTGCTCTGGTCGATATGTACATGAAATGCAACGCCATCGATACAGCGAAAAAGCTTTTTGAGCAATACGGTGCTAGAAATCTGGATTTGTGCAACGCGATGGCGTCGAATTACGTACGCCAAGGGTTAACGAAGGAGGCTTTAGGTGTTTTGAATCTAATGATGGACTCTGGTGTTAGACCTAATCGGATCTCGATGTTGAGTGCGATTTCGTCTTGTTCACAACAGAGGAACATCATGTGGGGGAAGAGTTGTCACGGATATGTACTGAGAAATGGGTTTGAGAGTTGGGACAACGTATGTAATGCTCTTATTGATATGTATATGAAGTGTCGTAGGCAAGATATAGCGTTTAGGATCTTTGATGGGATGTTGAACAAGACGGTGGTCACTTGGAACTCGATAGTCGCTGGCGACATAGAGAATGGTGAGGTGGAAGCAGCGTGGGAAACATTCAAAACCATGCCTGAGAAAAACACTGTTTCTTGGAACACGATCATCAGAGCTCTGGTGCAAGAAAGCATGTTCGAGGAAGCGATTGAAGTTTTCCGGTCAATGCAAAGCCAAGAGGGTGTCAACGCGGATGGAGTCACAATGATGAGTATTGCATCGGCTTGTGGGTCCTTGGGAGCTCTTGATCTCGCGAGATGGATATATTACTACATAGAGAAGAACAGAATTCAGATTGATGTCAGACTCGGTACCACTTTAGTAGATATGTTTTCAAGGTGTGGGGATCCCGAAAGCGCGATGTCGATTTTCGATAGTATGACAAACAGAGATGTCTCGGCCTGGACATCTGCTATAAGAGCAATGGCTATGGCAGGAGACGCTAAGCGAGCAATAGAGCTTTTCAATGAGATGATTGAACAAGGGTTGAAACCAGATGGAGTTGTCTTCGTTGGAGCATTGACAGCTTGTAGCCATGGTGGATTGGTCCGAAAAGGCAAAGAAATATTCGAATCGATGGAGAAACTTCACGGAGTTTCTCCACAAGATGTGCACTATGGATGCATGGTTGATCTACTTGGTCGAGCAGGGTTGTTAGAGGAAGCTCTGAAACTCATAAAGTCCATGCCTTTGGAGCCAAACGATGTGATTTGGAACTCTCTTTTAGCTGCTTGTCGTGTTCAAGGCAACGTGGAGATGGCTGCTTATGCAGCTGAGAGGATACAAGCCTTGGCTCCAGAGAGAACTGGGAGTTACGTGCTTCTCTCAAATGTCTACGCATCAGCAGGAAGATGGAACGATGTGGCGAAAGTGAGGCTGAGTATGAAGGAGAAAGGGTTACGCAAATCTCCAGGGACTAGTTTAATAGAGATTCGAGGTAAGACACACGAGTTCACATCAGGCGATGAGTCACACCCTGAAATGCCGAAGATCGAAGCGATGCTCGACGAAATCAGCGGAAGAGCGAGCGAGTTAGGCCATGCACCTGATATTGGCAGTGTTCTGATGGATGTTGATGAGCAAGAGAAGGTGTTTATGCTGAGCCGACACAGCGAGAAGCTTGCAATGGCGTATGGACTCATTAGCTCAAAGAAAGGAACAACAATACGAATAGTCAAGAACCTAAGAGTATGTTCTGATTGTCATTCGTTTGCGAAGTTAGCATCTAAAGTGTATAGACGAGAGATCGTTCTAAGAGATAATAACCGGTTTCATTTCATCAGTCAAGGGAAGTGTTCTTGCGGTGACTTCTGGTGATTACAGAAAGTAAAAAAATGAAGAGAAATGTACATAAACTTCAATCTTCAAGATGCTAGATACAAAAAAGGTGGTTAAGAACTTGTTCAGGATCGTCGTGGCTGTGGCGTGATTGGGTCGATAAGCGAGTGATACATAGGATCAGAACCCCAAAGATGAGCGATTTGAAGATGAGAGGAAGTGGTTCGATGGATTTCTTCAACGAGCCAGATGGTAGCTTCAGCTTTAGAAGGATGAACGATCAAATCCAAGCTCTGGTCTTCAGAGTCAGAGCCGAATCTTGATTGATCCCAACGTTGTAAAAGAACGTTCGTGAGGTAATGTAGAGGTTGATGATAAAGCTGTTTGATTGAGATGCTTAACCCAACCCAGCTTGTGAACGGAATCAACGAACCGCGATTCGTCGGAATAGGGAATCGCTTCATGTAGTTTTGATAAATCTCTGCTCTAATCAGCAATGAACCTGATGCGCACACACACAAAAAAAAAATTGAAACTTTTAGGGTCAAAAATGGTGGAGAAGGGCAGAAACAAAGGGACTATTTGATAAACAGTACCTTCATCTTCGAGCGGCGAGAAGCCATCGCTGATCTCAGGTTCGACCTCGGAGGAAGCGGAATCAACCGATGCTCGTGGAGTCATCGTCACTGAGGTTTGCATGGTCCCTGACGAGCCGTTAAAAATTCTGACTGTAAACAAAAATGTACGACGGCTCCACGAGGCCGCCGAAATTAGGGTTTTTAACTTTTTAAGGGAAGAAGACGAAGAGGATGAGCTGTGTAACACGTGTCGGTTATACGTCACTCGTGTCTGTTGCGTGAGGTAACAAAAAAAATCTAACATATTGAAATTAAATAAATCAAACCCGCTCGAAATTGGACCAGGATCCGTACCCGTACCCATTCACTACCCGACCCGGCGCAAAGGAGCAAGCTTTAGGTATTGTTGTGCCAACATTCGAACTTCATCGGAAAAACGGAGACAAGTCGGCGTTAGATTCAAACGGAAACGAAAACAAAAATGCTCGCGAAGCTCCGGATTAGTAAGCTTGCTTCGTATACCTTACGTCGGAGAATCTACGAAAGGCGATTTCTGGTAACGAACAATGGTTTCTCTACCGCTGAGGAGTCGCCGGTTGTTGCCGCCGAGTCTCCGGAGCTTCCATCTTGGATCAAAGACTTTCTATCAAACAAGCCTTCTTCGAATTCGGTCTCCGACGACGAAGATTTCGTTATCCCTTCGCTGGCGGGTTGGGTCGAGAGCCAGAGGTTTAGCCGCGAAGAAGTCTCATCGGGAAATGTCGCGAAGAAACCAGTGGAAGATATCGATAGAGTCTGCGAATATCTGAACAAGAAAGACGCTTCTCATGGAGATTTCGTCAACGAGCTGAGTAACTGTGATGTGGTTGTATCAGAGAGCCTGGTTTTGCAAGTTCTGAGAAGGTTCAGCAATGGATGGAATCAAGCTTACGGGTTTTTCGTTTGGGCGAAATCACAAACAGGTTATACGCATTCAGCTCAAGCTTACAACGCGATGGTGGACTTGCTGGGGAAATGCAGGAATTTCGATTTGATGTGGGGATTAGTCGATGAGATGAAGAGTAAATCACCCGAGCTCGTCACGCTCGATACGATGAGTAAAGTCATGAGGAGATTGGCGAAATCTGGGAAATACATTGAAGCTGTTGATGCGTTTCTAGAGATGGAGAAGAAGTACGGTGTGAGAACAGATACTAACGCTATGAACAGTTTGATGGATGCGCTTGTGAAGGAGAACAGTATAGAGCATGCTCACGAAGTGTTTCTGAAGCTTTTCGATACAATCAAGCCGGATTCTCGTACATTCAACATCTTGATTCACGGGTTTTGCAAAGCTCGGAGGTTCGATGATGCAAGGACGATGATGGAGTTGATGAAGGTGACTGAGTTTGCTCCTGATGTTGTTACTTACACAAGCTTTGTAGAGGCTTATTGTAAAGAAGGAGACTTTAGGAGAGTTGATGAGATCTTGGAAGAGATGAGAGAGAACGGGAGTAAACCTAATGTGGTGACTTACACGATTGTGATGCATTCTCTGGGGAAATCTAGACAAGTAGCTGAAGCTTTAGGTGTATACGAGAAGATGAAAGAAGACGGGTGTGTTCCTGATGCTAAGTTCTATAGCTCATTGATACATATTCTATCGAAAACCGGTAGGTTTAAGGATGCAGCTGAGATATTCGAGGACATGACGAAGCAAGGAGTCTCTCGTGATGTCTTGGTCTACAATACGATGATTTCCTCTGCGGTTCATCACTCCCGAGATGAGATGGCTCTACGTTTGCTTAAAAAGATGGAGGAGGAAGAAGCTTGCAGTCCAAACGTTGAGACTTATGCTCCGTTGCTGAAGATGTGTTGCCATAAGAGGAAGATGAAGCTGCTTGGAGTGCTGTTGCATCACATGGTGAAGAGCGATGTTAGTATCGATGTGGCGACTTACATTCTTCTCATTAGAGGGCTGAGTATGAGCGGGAAGGTTGAAGAAGCTTGCTTGTTTTTCGAGGAGGCGATGAGGAAAGGTATGGTTCCTAGAGATAGCACTTGCAGAATGTTGGTGGAGGAGCTTGAGAAGAAAGGTATGGCAGATGCAAAGCTCAAGATTCAGAGTTTGGTTCAGTACAAAGTGATGCCCAACAAGTCACAAAGTGCTTTACCTGTTTCGTAGAGATTAAGCGTTTTGGAGAGTCGTAGTCATGGCTTAAAGTTTTGTTTCTGTGGAACGATTAATCATTATTGTACTCTGTTAGATCTCAAAGCATGTTTTACCATTTTGCTATAATGAAAAAATGAAATCACATGGTTTAGTAATGGTTGATGAATATGTGTATGAGAGAAGTTTGATACATGAATATGTGATATGATCATACACATGTCTAATAGTATCTTGTTAGGGTATTGGATTTATGTTCTTAATTTTTTTTTGTCTAAGCGTCTTGGAAAATTTTGATATTATGGAAAAAATATAAAATATAATTTTAAACCTTTCTCATATTTTTTCCCTTGAATTTAATATTTTTTCCCAGTGATATTTCTCATTTTTGGAATACTCAGCGGGGGTCTTTTTGTAAAGTTTTCGTAACGAGACAAAGAAAAAATACATTATTGTATACAGTTTTCGTATCGTATTTTTTAATACAATTTACATGTACAGTATTCCGTAATGATTTAATTATTAATAAAGAAGTTATAGAATAAAGCAGGAAAGGGTTACAAAACCCAAAACCCTTGATTTCACTTCTTTCTTCTTCATCTTCTCGCGCCGTCGTTCACTCTCCGTCTCTCTTAAAACCCTCTCAAGCAAGCTTCTTCAATCTTCTTCCCTGTGATTCTTCATCGTCAACCGTAAGTTTTCTTCTACTCCTTCGAAGCTTTGTGTCAATTCCAGAGTATATATCGTCTTTGTAATCTCAGTTAACATAGATTGATAAACCTAATTTCGTTCACGCTCTACTGTTAAAAAACACCCTACCTAGGTTTATCGGAGCTATAATCTTCCGTACGTAGATACTGATATTCAATTGAATCGTTGCCTTCTGTAACATAGAAACCCTAGTTTCAGAGACGGATTTCCCGGTTTTTACCAGTAAATTGGATTCGATATCATTCTGAGTTTGATTTGTTATTGTTGTCTGTTGTTGTTTACTTGTCGCATCTCTGAACCTGATTGTTGTATTTGAAATCCAAATTTGGAGCAGATGACATTTGATGACGATTTCGTGGAAGATGACGAGATGAACATGATAGATGAAGACGGAGCAACCGACTCTGAATCTGAATCGCTTTCAGATTCCGATTCAGAGAACGAGATCACGGAGAAGCTAGCCGAGCCAACGAAGACTGCTGTATACAACAGAGATGGTTTACTCGATAAGCTGCAAGACATTAGCTGGCCAGAAAACGTTGAGTGGATTCACAAGCTCACCGTCGAGGTCGAACAGGGACAAGCCGTCGACGTCAACGACGACCTCGCGAGAGAGATGGCTTTCTACACTCAAGCCCTCGAAGGTGGAAAGAAGGCCTTGTTGAAGCTCCAGGCGATGGGTCTGCCTTTCCTCAGGCCGCCTGATTACTACGCGGAGATGGTGAAGTCTGATACGCACATGGAGAAGGTGAAGTCTAAGCTTCTGTACGAGAAGAAAGTGATGGAGGAGACTGAGGAGAGGAAGAAGGCTAGGGAAAACAAGAAGATGGCTAAGCAAGTGCAGTCTCAGAAGATGCAGGAGAGGCAGAAGCAGAAGAAGGACGACATTGAGTCTGTCAAGAAGTGGAGGAAACAGAGGCAGCAGAGCGGGTTTAGCGATAAAGACGGCGGCGCCGGAGAGCTTGATCTCGAGTTTGGCAACGGAAAGAGTTTCCAGAGAGGAGGAGGAGCGAAGAAGAGGCCCGGCGTGTCTCCGGCTGATCGAACAGGAGGCAAAGGAAAGTCTGCTTCGAGGATGAACAACAAGAAGAGAGAGTTTAGGGATTCCAAGTTTGGTCATGGTGGAAGGAAAGGGTTGAGCAAGCAGAACACTGCAGAGACGACGAATGATTTCAAAGGTGGGTTTCGTGGAGGGAAAGCTCAAGGAAACAAGAGACAGAAGAGATAAAAGAAAAGCGAAGAACAAGGTTTGATCATTTAGAACCCATCTACTACAACTTCAAACACTTTGTCATCTTGGATTATGTTTTTGAGAATGTTTTGTAAAAACCCCTATGGGTTTTATGAACTATATCTTTAGTTACAGTTTTGTACTAGTGATTTCTTGAATTAACAAAAAGCCCCATGTGTTTTTAAGAAATCGCAATCATCATTACATTGAGGGTAATTAGGGTGTAGTGACAAGCTGTTACTTCGGTGAACGAATCTCTCTCTCTATTGAAGTTGGAAACGAAGAACAAAATGGAAGTAAAGACTCTAGACCAGGGAGAGTCTCTCCTGTGATGCTAACTTTAACGTCAGTATTTATTTGCTCTGCCTCTGTGAATTGTTCTATCAGCAAGCTCATCACAATCCTTGTTGAGCCTTTCTCTTGCTTTCTTCAGCTGTGTCGAGCATAACCATCTCTGTTTCTTCATAAATTATTTGAGTGTATATATTTTTACAAAAATAGTAGATATTTTATATATTAAGTTAAAAAAAGGAATATGAATGAAAAGGAAAAAAAATGAAAGAAACACAATAAAAGAAATAATAAGAATGAAATACATATATATATATATATATATTTGTTCTTAAATTTCACAAGGATTATTTTTGTTGTATAATTCCTTAAATAATAAGGAATGATATGGAATATTACTAGTAAATGGTAAAAAAAAATTAATGAAGGGAATTTATTATTTCTACTCATTCCCTCAGTCACTTTTAGTATATTTATTTGGAATGTATAAAAAATACATAAAATTGATATATGACCAAAAAAAGGAAAATTTACTATATTTTCCAAGATTAAAAATTATATACGCAATATTTTTTCCTAAGGATTTTTGCTCGGGTGATTTCCCCTGTTTCTTATAAAAGTCCTCTATATCTATTGAAATTTACTGACAAATATTTCTGGAAACAGTAGCTGTGATGAAGATGAGTTCGATTTTCTTTCGCAAGAAATTGAAATTTATGAAGAGGAAGAGAAGAAACACAGAGTTTAAAAAAGGGAAGAAGAAGAGAAACACGGTACATCTCCCGGAGGATTTGCTCGTAGAGATATTTTCTAGGGTTCCGGCGACGTCTCTGCCACGATTACGATCAACATCCAAAAGATGGAACGCTCTAATCAAAGATGAGATTTT